CTGCTACCTGCAAACTCCAGGTGATGGACTTACTGCTTTTCATGCCTTCCATTCATTTAAAGATTCTAAAATCTTCCCCTCCCCCACCCCCTGCTCACAAGTTACTCAATACAAAATGTAATTTCATAGAGAAGTCTATAGAATACATTCTGTTTGCTTGTATTTCTTTGTTATGAAGTGTTATTGAAATCCGCCTTGTTTCATACCATACTCTCTGAATTATAGTTCATAAATGTGTAATGGTTACTGGTACAATATGAAGTACAGGTTAGAGTACTGCTAGTTTTTCTGGATGTACCATCATCCCATTTATAAACGTGAGGTTTTTATCATGTCAGTAATATAATATTTTGGAAGTATACATTTGGAACTATGCTCTTTGCATTAATTTCCATAGATAACAGTTGTAGATGCCTACAACGATTTGTCAGAATTTTCTAAACCCTCAAATGATGGTGTTCTAAACAAGTAAACAAACAAAAGCCTGTGCTTTTGAAAACCTGAGATCATTGTATAGGAATGTCAAGTCTTTTAGGGCAAATGTTGCCCTCCTTTCTTGCCTTTACAAAGTAATTTCTTTGAACATTAAATACATCTGTTAATTGTTCAAGGTGCTTAGAAGAAATGATGGCTTCGAGTTCTCTAAGACTCAGGGAACACTGTGGAAAGGGTGTCTAAAGAGTATCCCAGCCAGAGGGCAGGAAGGAAGGTTGCTTTCCTCAGTGCATGAGATGACCATTGAAACTGGAGCTCACATTAGTGCATTTGAGGGCACTAGGCCTGCATTAAACTGGGTGTGTCAAGAAGCAAAAGTGGACTAGGTTGAGGCTCTTGGGACCCCATCCCGCCCTACTGAATTATTAGTTGCTGTTGGATACTGGAAGAGAGAGAGAGACACCTTTATTATCTTTCTTAGTGTACTAAAAGTGAGAGCCTCAGGTTCCAATGAATAGTTCTATTCATGGTCACACATATGGTCCTTTTTAAAATTAATAGATCACAAACTAAAACAAAAAGGCATGAACGTGGGAAAGAAACTTGTAGAAAATGGATGGTGCCAAGGAGGTAAGAGGGGGTAGGAATAGACAGAATTCGGTGTGTGTGTGTGTGTGTGTGTGTGTGTGTGTGTGTGTGTGTGTGTGAGTGTGTGTGTGCATACGCGCGTGTGTGGGTGTATAATTGTCAAAGAGCAAATTGAATCACAAAACAAATAATACTTTGATTATTAAAGCTATTTAATTGTATACTACTAGTACTTCAGAAAGGAATTCATGTATCACCTTTAACATCCTTTCACAATTCGAGGTCACCTATCTCTGCCAGTTATCTCTGTCCTGGGTGATGGTGATGCTCTTACCTTGCTGAGTGACACGTTAGTAATCACACTGCTTCACTCCTGCAGCTCTGCTAATTGTACTTTTCTGTTTCTTGGATTCCTGTCAGTGAGGTTCTATCACTCCTTCCTCCAAAGCCAGTTTGAAGCAGGCCTCATTTTCTTCTCACAGACATCTACTGATCTCAGACCAGGCATTGCTAGGACGGTACAAAGCCTCAGGTGTGTGATCTCCCTGCTAAGGACCAATAGTCACTTTGTAGCGTCTCTGACGTGTTGCTTTGTTATCAGCCACTTGATGAGACAGTTAGAAGACATGAAACTAAAGAGGAGAAAATTGATACTGACACAATCAGAGGCAGGATCAGCAGAATTTAAGTGACTAGTTCCAGGAGGAATTTAAGGGAGGAAGATGTAAAAGATGATGTTCAGGTTTCAGCTGGATATGGGGATACAAACAGCTTTAGTCAGGAAGTTTCTGGAAGGTTTAAGTTAGTTGAAGTGAATGTGGGTATCCGGAAGGAAATGACCCTTTGTGGCTGTGGGAAGAAATTTGGAACGGTGATAGACATTAGGGGACAGCAGCTTAACTACAAAATTTCTAAGGTGGAGCTATGCCTTTTTCTCATGCCTTTAATCTTTGCACTGGGAGATAGAGGCAAGCAAACAGCCTTAAATTTGACAGCTGCACAGGCTAGAGTGAGTTCCATGCCAGCCTGAGCTGCCATGTAGACCCTGTTTGATTAAAAACACATATTTTTAAAAATTATTTCTTTTCATTAGTGAGATTACAATATAATTACATCGTATATCCTTCCTTCTGTTTCCTCCATCCAAATGTTCCCGTATACCCCTCTTTGCTCTCTTTCAGAGCATTCACGGCCTCTTCTTTCATTAACTGTTGGTATGTACATAAATACATTATATATGTATATACATATATATAATTTCCATGTACAGCCTGCCTCGTCTGTATGATGTTACTTGTATATATGTTTTCACAACTGACATTTCCTATTATAACCAGCTGGTAAGCTCTTCCCTGAGGAAGATTATTTCTCCTGCTCTCAGCATCCCTCCCTCGCCTGTTGTTCTTTGTGTAGGGTTGAGGCCTTGTGGGCTTTCCCATCTTGAGCACATTGAGTGTTGTTGTCCTTGTTCAGCCCTTGTTTAGGAAATCACATTATGTGATTTTATGGAAACCATTACTGAAAACTACGACCAATCAAAATTCATAATTATGGAGCCCAGTCCCAATATAGAGCTTACAGGATCACCATGGAAGAAACACTGAAAGAATGTGAGAACCAGGGAGCTTGCTGAGAGATTGCCTATCCGTATATATACTTGGTTTTGTTTCTTTGCTTCGCTTTGTTTGTTTTTTTATGGAACTTTTTATTTAAATTAGAAGCAAGCTTGCTTCATATGTCAATCCCAGCTCCCTCTCTCTCCCCTTCTCCCCCACCCCCACTAACCACCCAACCTCCCACTCTGTCCCCACTCCACTCCCCAGGGAGGGTGAGACCCTTCATGGGGGATCTCCAAAGTCTGTCATATCAACTCGGGCAGGGCCTAGGTCCTCCCCCATGTGTCCAGGATGAGAGAACACCCCTCCATGTGAAGTGGGCTCCCAAACTCCATTTGTATGCCAGGGATAAATACTGATCTACTGCCTAAATCACCAAAGATTGCCAAGGCTTCCTCACTGACACCCACGTTCAGGGTGTCTGGATGCTGGTCTCTCAGCCATCAGTCTGGTGTCCATGAGTCCCCCTTGTTCAGGTCAGCTGTTTTTCTGGGTTTCACCAACCATGTCTTGACCCCTTTGCCCATCCCTCCTCCCTCTTTACAACTGGATTCCAGGAGTTCAGTTTGGTGTTTAGCTGTGGATGTCTGCCTCCGCTTCCTTCAGCCATTGTATGAAGGCTCTAGGATGGCATATAAGGTACTTGCCAATCTCATTATAGGGGAAAGGCATTTAAGGTAGCCTCTCCACTATTGCTTAGATTGCCAGTAGGTGTCATCCTTGTAGAAATCTGAGAATCTCACTAGTGCCAGATCTTTCCTCTAAGCTATAATGACTCCCTCATCACTCATCCTGCTCTCCTTTATCCCCTCCACCACACACTCAACCTTCCTCCTTCCCCATGTCCTCATCTCCTCTTTTCTCCTTCTCCTCACTTTTCCCCTGCTCCCCCCCCCCACGCTCCCATTCCCCTCAGGAGATCCTGTCCCATTCCCCTTCTCTGGGATACCATGCATATCTCTCTTAGGGTCCTCCCTGTTTCCCAGACTCCCTGGTGGTGGGATTGTAGGCTGGCACTCCCCTGATCCATGTCTAAAATCCATATATGAGTGAGTACACACCATGTTTGTCTTTTTATGACTGGGTTACCTCAATCAGGATGGTTTCTTCTAGAGCCATCCATATGCCTGCGAATTTCAAGATTCCATTTTTTTCCCACTAAATAGTACTCCATTGTGTAAATGTATCACATTTTCTCTATCCACTCTTCGGTTGAGGGACATCTAGGTTGCTTCCAAGTTCTAGCTATTACAAATAATGCTGCTATGAACATAGTGGAACAGACATCCTTGTTGTATGAATGTGCATCTTTAGGGTATATGCCTAAGAGTGAAATTGCTGGATCTTGTGGCAGACTGATTCCCATTTTCCTGAGGAATCTCCAGTGCCAACTCATAAGCCACTTTGGAAATCAGTATGTTTGTTTGTTTTGAGACAAAGTTTCTCTGTGTAACAACCCTAGCTGTCCTGGAACTTGCTCTGTAGACCAGGCTGGCCTCGAACTCACAGAGATTTGCCTACCTCAGATATATGCTTTTTAAGGATAGAAATTGTGAATAAATTCTTTTCGTGTGCAATATTCATGATGTTGTTAGGAAATTGGCTTCTAAGAAATAAATATGCAAGCAAATTTTTATGGGGGGTTTGGGTCTCATCAATTTACTATTTGATCAATATTTTCATGTTATTTAGATTTTTATGACTATTACATATCAGCTAATGCAATCAATATAGTAAACTGAAGTTATTATAGAAGTTTTAGAATATATTTAATAAGTTTTTAAACCCTAGATTAAAAGCTCCTATATCTGTTTAGATTTCTGTGTTCTAAAAATAAAAAGTGCATAGAACATGCTTTTAGAAAGCATATATTCCTTTAAATGGCTTCAACAGAAAATACCCATTGTTGATTTTCTTCATATTTTCAGTTTACTTCTTAAAATCTCATAATCCCAATAAATACTATATAGATATATAGTATAAATACTTTAATATGTATAGAAGGATGCAGCTTAAATATTGTTTTATCAACACCCCCATAATGTTCTGTTATATAACCCTAATGTGCTAAAGTAGATCTTAGTACCACAGTAATACATGGGTTGTTTCCCTTAAAATGCATGTATTTTAATAAGTTCTTTCTAAAGATTACATTTTCATTTAAGCTTAGTGGTAATTTATTAATAGTTTTAATACTAATTTATTCTCTAAATACTCAATGGGGTTCTTTTGTTTTACTTCTTTGAATGTTCTCTAACTATCTTATTTTTATGCTCTGTATGCAGGTATATAATTGAATCTAAGTGATTACTGTGATAGTCACTAGATACAATATGCAGTATGCATTTGTTTTCTTTTTAGGAAAATGGTTCTCCCGAAGAGCACGCAGTCTATGTATGGGACCATTTCATAGCCCAGTCTGCTGCAGAGAGCGTGTTTTTTGTTGCTCACAGCTATGGAGGACTTGCTTTTGTTGAACTGGTAAGTGAACATCTCACTTTTTAATGATTTATTTTTAATGTGTGTGTGTAAGACCCTGTTTGTAGGTATACCATGTGCATACCAGTGCCCACATGTCCAGAAAAGGGCAAAGGAGTCCCCTGGAACTGGAGTTACCTGCAGTCATGAGCCACCTGATGTGGTTGCTGTGAACTGAACAGGGGACCTTTTCCAGGGCAGGGGAACTGACGAGGATCCTCAGTAAGAGCTGAACCTTCTCCAGTCCTTAACTCTAACCCTGACTCTCAGCCTCCTTGCAGGTTTGTTTCGGATTGGGCTTGGTTTGGTTATGGTTTGGGTTTTGGTTTGAGACAGGGTTTCACTCTGCAGCACTGGATAGCCTGGAACTTGCTATATAGACCATGTTGACCTCTATCTCACACAGATGCCTGCCTCTCCCTCTTAAATCCTAGAATTAAAGGCATGTGCCACTTACCCAGCACACCCTCTATTCCTGTTGTCTTCCTTCTGGATATTATTACTTCAAGTTATTTTAAAATTCGTAAGAGCCAGAGCTAGTAGATGGGTGGATGACTCGAAGGAAGCAGCATCTTCCAAACGCAGCAGGACTGAAGGGCATGGGAACGTAAGAGACAATCCGGCATGCACACACAGACACTGTGGCAGCATGTATAGGACCAGGTGACATTTCAGCACTGAAAACAGGAGGTTGACATGAAATCCCACTATTAACCAAGAAACTATTTACAACCAGTGCCTGCTGGGAAAGGGAAAGTAAGTTTTCACTAATAGATAAACACTGGGTTTATCAAGCACACTCCAGGGCAGACCCCATGACCACTAGTAGTTAGGCAACACAAAATGGACTGTGTGCATGCGTGTGTGCTGGGGGAACTTCTTTTCTCATTTTGTTTTGGTATTTTATGTATTGATATTTTTGTTTGTTTTGATTTTCATTTTTGTTTTGCTTTTACTTTTGAACAAATAAAAGAACATGAAGTTAGATGTATAGGAAGGTGGGCAAAATCTGGGAAGGCTTAGAGTAGTGAAAGACTATGATCAAATATATTGTATGAAAACATTTTAAATTTAAAAATTAAACTGTATTTAAATACATCCAGGATACGCTTGTATGATTTTTTAAAAGAATATACTAATTTCTTTGAGTGTAACTGATGTTTATACTGCTAGACAGAAGTGACTTTTGGCATTCCTTCTTTATATGTCATTTTTAAATTTCAATATTATCATGTGTCTTCTATTCATTTTAAGTATACATTTTTTATTTGTGCACCATTAGTATGTATGTTGACCATATAGAACCCAAAACTGAAACCCATTCAATAGTTGGTATCATTTTGATATTTTTTAAAATTTTATTTATTTATTTTATTCATGGTTTGCCTGCATGTGTGTCTGTGTGAACATGTTAGATTCTCTGGACCTGGAGTTATGGACAGCTGTGAGGTGTCATATGGGTGCTGGGAATTGAACCCCAGTTCTCTGGAAGAACAGTGGTCTTAACCACTGAGCCACCTCTCCAGCCCCCATTTTAATGATTTTTAACTTTGATGTCTGCTATTTAGTATTTAATACTTCATTAGAGTTCATGTGATTAGCATCAAACTATCAGAAAGGTTCCATTAATTTACTTGTAACTAGCATTCTTTGCTTGGTCACAGAAATTTTAAGAGTTAAAATTAGGTACATGTGATAGGAACAGTTATCAGGTATCTTGGATCTAATCTGATTGGATACAGTGTTCTAGAAAGCACAATTATGCCACTGTGGTTATTGTGAGTGATTGATGTTAGAAATTCGCTAATGAAGCGTTGTGTCAGAATGCCGTTATGTCCATTGTCTAATTTTCATTGTTTTAGATTTTGGTGTATATTTCTGTAAATATGTTTCTGTGGCTTTTTAGCTGCCCATACCTCAGGTTCCAGTGATTTAGATATAAGAGTAGTACTCACCCCTCATGTATATGATACTGCATTTGCCCTCCTACATCTAAAATGCTTACACTGTGCTAAAATCAAGAAATATGTTGTCATTTCTTTCTTAATTTGACTTCAGTATTTAGAGATTGTTTGCAATCATTTTTAGCTTAACAGATTTTGTTTATTTTGCTATATATTATGTTATACACAACACACACCTTAAGGGAGTTTTTTTTAACACATTAGTGTGGGTTTGTTTTTTAATATGAATGTTTAGAGAAAATACAGTGTTTTAAAATAGTGTTTCAATATCTACAGATAAGTAATTATACATTTGTAGCTATAGATAGCTTTTATTTGTAAGTCATTAAATTACTTTAAAATTAACTTTAACTTATGGAGAAACTTAAAATGTATAAAGTCCTGAAACACTGCTAATCTAATTTCTAATTTCAATAAAACATAACATAATTTTTTTACCTTACAATCATTTATTTAAAAAATAACTTTGCAAATCAAATTTGGGCTTAGGGCGAATTGAAGGCTGTTTTTTAAAACGAACTTAAGATGCCAAAATTGACAGATGACCAATGTATAGTCCTGTTTTGCCTGTCCTTCTTGTCACACACTGGTGGATATTTCGCCACTTTTGTTCCACTTTAATATAAAGCACACAGATGTTTCAGAACAAGACTTGACTTTTGACCTTGAGGCTATTAGGGTCAGGGTCCTCAGGGCCTGTGAAATTATCACAAGCTGAGCTAAAGTTTTTCTCCAGCACAGGAAGTAACTAGTAAGTAAGAAGTTAAAAAGGAGCTTTGTCTCAGAGACAAGATGGTCCCAGTAAGGGTCAGCTTCTGTAGGCTGCTGTCCCTGCAGGAGGCCATGCATGGGAGGAGGAGATAATAGAACCTCTGGTGGATCTGTCAGGCTGGAGCAGAGCTGAGAAGTCTATTTCATGTAATATACCTTGTTTAGGTCTTAAAATATTAATGGTTATCATTTCAACTTCATGCACTTGCTACTTGTTGTGTCACGAGTGATTAAACTATGTAATGCAGGGGCATCGACATTATCAACTGAAGAAAGACTGGTCTAGGCCTAAAAAGTAACTTGCAAGCAAATAATAGTGCAGACTGATGAGGTTTGCATTTTGGTAAATTTAATAAACATGTGTAAGTTCATTCTATTTCTATTTCAGAATGCTTTTTGAAAGAAAGCATAGTAACAGAAAAACAAACTGCAATGTCTGTAGACTTGCTCTTGTGCGAAGCTATTATTCTTTCCAGTTATTATTATTCTTAAGAGAAGTCTTAGTGTTTAAAATGTTAACAAATGTTGTCTCTGGGTATTTCAGCATAAGTGTAACATATGAAATTATCTTACATGGTTTCAAAATGTTAATATTAACTATATAAGAATAATGTGAAGATTAATATAATGTGCATTATACACTTCATACATAAAACTTTTAGCTTTCAGTGGTTTAAAATGTTTAAAAATTGTTTGAAATTTATACTCTTAGAAGACCGTAGGGTTATCTGTCTCTGTCCCTGCCTTAGTGTTTCCCATCATATCTGTGTATTTACAGATCATTCTCTACCATTGTCTTGTCTTTGAGTCATACATGTTAAGTACATTTATTTTAAATGTAAACTATATGGCACATACAGTTTAAAAACTAAATGTAATTAATGCAATTTTGTATAATGTTTACTGTTTGAATATCAGGCAAGAGGACTTTGTTACTATAGCTTGACATATACTGGGTTAACACTTATATAAAATTCTAGTTTAAAAGTAAAAGTGCTTACTTTCAAGTTTGGAGGTCCATTGTTAGAGGGCCATGTTTTCCCAATTGTTCTTAGAAACTGAGGACATATTTTATTATCATACTCTGTCTTAAAGTATTTAATTGCTCCTGAAGAACATACAACATGAAAGATTTATTTTCAAAGCCAGTATTCATTTTATGATAGTATGTCTTGTGATGCACCTATCCTGAGTAAAGTATACAGTTTGCTGTAGCCACAAGAAACATGATAACAAAAGTATGCCTGTCACTGCCCTTGCTTGTACTGTCGAGTGAAACAGAAATGTCCAATTCTGCAAACTCTCTGTGACCCAGGAAAATCAAGTATTGATAAGACATCCTGTTTTAATCCAACATGTAGTTATCAAAACCAAGAGAATGATTGGTCTTATGCATTGATAATGAATTTCTGAAAACAGTTGATGGGCCTGTATTATCCCATTCTAGGCATATTTAGCCATAAATTTCTGTTTTACACATTTAATTTTATGTACGGTAGGATTAATAATGTTAGCCACAATTTGTTTACCAAATTATGTGAACAGACATGCACAGATAGTGCAGCCTAGTTATTTAAACTTAGGCTTAGGTTCACTCTTCTCTAATTTTCACATTAGAGTTCACGTGGTGATTGTCTCCATCTCTTCCCCAGGCACCGGGTTGAAATGATTCCATCGCTTCCATTGGCCACTTTACTGGGTTTTGTTCTTGTCTTCCCAGGTGTTAATCAGTTTAAAAAATCAAGTAACACTGTCATCATTGTTGTTGTTGAGATGAGCTGGCTCTCCTGGTCCCAGCCCACCTCTGCTCTCTTGACTGCCATGCTCACAGGTCCCAGTGTCTCCCATTCCGATAGCCGCCTTTAACCAAAGCAAGAGTGCTCATAGTTTTCATAAAGTGTATCAAGTATTTCAATCAATACCTGTCACTGCTTCACTGAAAGAATATTAGGATCTGCTCATATTTATTTCTTTTTTCTATATTGTCCTTGGTTTGTTCACAGACACCATGAAGAAAATCACTTGGACTGTGTGAAAACAGCCCCTTTTGAGAGAGTGTCTCTCCTCACTTTTGACCTGGGGTTTTCCATGCTTGTCAGCCCTTGATTGGCACCTCACTTGCATGTGAATCAAGGACTGAAGGGAACTCTGTTTTCCTGCCATTGTTTGCCACTGAGTTCCCTGGCCTCCAGGCAGCCTAAGCTGCCTTGAGCAGCTAGCTGGTAGAAGGCTAGTTTTGGACACGGCTGTATGAAGACACTCAACCTC